CCAGCTGCTCACAACGTGCCCGTGGAGCTGCGTCCAAGCCGCGACGTATACTACGCGCCCAAAGTAGCGAGCCCGGCGTCGGGGGGGCTCTCTCATCGCACGATTGAAGAGGTCTGCAGCCCTGGCGTCAGTCAGAACTTTGGAGCCCGGCCTGCGTGGTTCATCCCGTGGGCTGGTGGGGATACGCGAAGCGTCAAGAATTTACATCAGTGGATGCAAGGCCTCGCAGGGGGAGGGCGGCGGGGGGTGTCCTCCAGGTCGGCCGCACGGTCGCCGTCCTCGCCCCGCTCGTCCGCGGGGGGCGGCAGGGTCGGTGCGGGCGCCTGCGGAGCAGGCGGGGGGAGGAGGAATAGGAATCACCCTGGGAGGGAGGAGGAGGAGGAGGAGGAGGAGGAGGAGGAGGCGGAGGAAGAGGAGGAGAAAGGAGGTGGGGCAACACACGCACACACACACAGACGCACAGACACACAGACACACAGACACACAGACACACAGACACACACACACACACACAGACACACAGACACACACACACACACACACACACACGCACACACAACACACAACACACAACACACACACACAACACAACACACACACACACACACAACACACACACACGCACACAACACACACACACACAACACACAACACACAACACACACACACACACACACACATTCTGCCCAGCAGCATGGGGGGAGGAGGCGGAGGAGCACGCAGGTTGGGGGCGTGGCCGTGGGAAAACATGTTTTACGCTCCACGCTCAGGCGCCTCGAAAGCCAGCCAAGCGCTGGGCGGGCAGCATGTTTGCTGCTGGGGGGGGGGGGGCAGCAGCCTGAGCGGCGCCCAAAGCCAAGGGGCTTGGGCGCAGAAGCGGGGGTGAATCGGGCAGCCTCCTGCACGATCTGCCGTCTGCCGCCAAGAACGGAAGGACTGCTGGCCACGGCAACGTGGCGTGGCAGGGACGCCTCCCGAAGGTGCAGCGCTGCTCCCGCCCTGTATAGAGATCGCAGAAGACGGGCCAGAAGGCACCCCCCCAAAGCGCAGCCCCGCCACGGGCTGCCCGAAAAGAAAATGCTGAAGCACCGCATGCAGTGGCTAGTTCCAACTGGGATCCCGAGCTTCTGCTTGCTGTGCTGGGGGGACATGTCTTTACACAGGGCAAGCCAACCATAACGAGAAGCATGGGAAACAGAGGGGATGCATTTGGACATTTGGCCCCTCACGGAGCCTCCCGAGCCTTGGCACTTGATTATCAGACAGGTGCAAAGCACAGAAAGGTCAGAGCACTCAACCACCACCGTGCGGTTGCCGAAAAGAATATGGTCGCAAGGCGTGCAACTTGGAGTCCGTCGGACAAATGCCCGCAAGAAGCATGGAACACGAACGCGTCCCACGGAGGCAAACCGAACGCCTCCACGCCCCAGATCACCGAACCCACCAATGCCCCTCATGAGCGGGAACAAAAATCGAAGGTTTCAAATCAGCTTCACGGAAGTCAGCGTCAGGCCATACTTAAAACGTGCCTGCGGTCAGCTTCGAAGTGGCCCGAGCTCGTGCGACGTTGGCGTCAGCCGCAGCAAGGAGCCCCAAGGTCTTTCGGGCGCAGGTCAACAACATGCTTAGCACCGACATCGTCCGACATGTTCCTTGACGCAACCGCTTACCGTGCGCGTCGATCCCAACCTCGCCGAGATCACAATGGGCGGCGACCTCCACGCAAAAACAGATGCCCGACACTTGTGCGCATGGAAGGGACACGCGAATACATGCGTTCGGGAGACCACTGTTCGGGCTCGGACCTGCCAGCCAACTGAACCGCACTGCTGCAATCATAGTAGGCAGTGGACTGACCGGACCTGACCCGGGGAACATTCGCCCAAGCGAACGCACTGAACTCAGCCCGTTGGGGGGCGAGGGGACTGGGGCAACCGTCGGCAGGGTGTCGCAAGGCCACTTGGAAAAGGGCGAAGAAGTCTCCGGGGGTCCCCAAGCTTGGCTTCTGGAACGACATCTGACATCTCTTGCTTCGCCGATGCGCGCCGTGCTTCTCGCGCTGGCCCGCGCTGACATTCCCGCGCCCTGCGAAAGACCGAGCCCTCGCAGACGCAGCCGAAGGGACGCAGAGCCGAAAATGCGAGCCCAGGCTCTCCGGCCCTCGCTGCCGCGAGAGACCCAATGGCGAAGGCTCGCACCCGGGCCTCTTCAGTGGAGCTGCACCTCTCTGGTCATCGGTCGGACGTCCATTTCCGTGTTTTTTGTCGGTTTCGTGCGTGGCTGTTTCGCCAAAGGATCAAGGATGCTCCTCGATGGTCCTCGCCGAAAGGAGAGTGCACACGTCCGAGCGATGGCGAGCTCTCACTGGCCAGGGCCGCTTCGAGAAACGCCGTGGCACATCCTGGGAAGCACGCCGCGTGGTTCCTCGGGCTCTCTCTCAAGTGCCGTGACCGCCCGCCCTCGAGGAGGGGGCGGGCCAGGGAGGGCGAGCACAGGACCCCGTGGGAACCCTGCGGCCCCCTGCCGCCCCCAAAAAGTACATGACATCCTCCAGAGTGCAGCCGAGGTGACCTCGGACGTGCGGAGGGCCGTCACAGGAAACGCCGACGCACCTCCCAGAACACGAGGAGCGAGAACACACTCGCGAGCCACGCTTCCTCACGGGCCATCGCTCGGACGTCCATTTCCTGTGTTTTTTGTCGGTTTCGTGCGTGGTTTTTTCGCCAAATGATCAAGGATGCTCCTCGATGGTCCTCGCCAATGGAAAAATGCACACGTCCGAGCGATGCCAAGCTCGAGGCCCCCTCGGCCCAGAGCTCCCCGGGGAAAGGCCCGCCCAGCAGAAAGAGAAAGCTTCTCCGCTCCAACGCAGAATTAGGAGCCACCGCCGCCCGACCGCAGGGGGTCTCCGTCGACGACGGCGGCCGTCGCCAGCGACCCGAGCTTCCTGGCGGGCCCGGCGACCGACCAGGGCGCGCCTGGGAATCTGATCGGTCGAGCAATGTATCCCCGGACCGCACGAGGCGCCAACTCAAAGGGCCCGCAGAACAAGTAACATCCCGAGGGCCGCAAATCGCTCGAGGACAGTAGCTTGATTAGTCCATCTAGTGGCAACGCGGCTGGCGTTGGCGACCGTGCATGCTTAGTACCTACCTCGCTTTTGACCACCCTCGCTTCCAAGAGATACCAAACGATGCCAAATTGCAGCCTGTACTGGTCAGGCCGCTTGACGAGGAGGCGCGTGGTATGACTTGGTTTTGCCTGGAAGCGAAAGCGGAGTAGGTATTTCACGCTCTGATTTGGCGCACATCCCAGCCGTGCGGACTGGCGGTCCTGCCGTGACATCGACACCTAAGTTTAACAGCAGGACCCGAGGGTTGCGGAGCGCCTCCGAGGCGTCGACGCCTGCGGCCGTAGAGAGACAGCAACGATGGCAGGATTTGTCGAGGCCAGGTCGACGAGCGGAGGAAACGGGGGCCTCGTCGCCGTCGCCGTCGTCGTCGTCGTCGTCGTTGTCGTCGTCGGCGTCGTCGTCGTCGTCGTCGTCGTTGTCGTCGTCGGCGTCGTCGTCGTCGTCCGTCTGAGGAGAACACACACATGAAGGGTGGCCACATACTGGCCCGTGACAGCACCGATTGCACAGAAGGAAACGCCCTCCCGGAACGTGAGGAGGAGACACCGGCCGAAGCTGTTTTTTGTGTTCGAGATCGAGCTCGGAATATACGGGCACCCCGTCCATAACATATGGAATGCCCCCCTTCTCAGGAGGAGGAGGAGGAGGGATGAGGAGAGACGAGGGGGAGATGAGGAGGAGGGGGAGGAGGAGGAGGACGAGTTTAAACCAAAGAATCATCAACGATGTTGGAATTAGCCCTCCCTCCAAACTCCCTCTTCATGGCCCCTAAACCGGTTCATTTCCATTGAGGGAACTGCCTCGTTGGAAGACACCCTTGAAAACGCTGAAGCATGCCAAAACTTGTTCTTAGGATTTCGACGCCACGGATCAACCTGACTGCTGCGTCTTGGCGATCCCGAATTGTGCCAGAACTTCATTCTTGGGACTTCAACACCGCAAATCAGCATAACTGTTGCACCCACAAAATCCAGAATCCTTCAAAAAACGCAATTTCTGATACGTTGATCATGGGAATCCGTGAAACTCTTCCAAATGTTATGAAAGAATGTGCGCTGCGCTGAGGCAAGAACCACAATTTGAAAAGGAACCGCCCTCAATCCGTGAAACTCTTGCAAATGTTGAATACGAATGTGCGCGGCGCTAAGGCGAGAACCACATTTTGAAAAGGAACCACCCTCAACCCGTGAAACTCTTGCAATCTTTTAAAACGACGGAGGAAGAGGATGAGGAGGAGGGAAAGAGGGAAGGAGACAGGGGAGGAGGAGGCAAAGGCAAAGGCGGTCGAAGGGCGGTCGAAGTCAACCTCGTAGCCTGCGGGCACCCCGCCCGTGACATGTGCAGCCGTGTCCTCTTTCCCAGGAGGAGAAGGAGAAATGAGAACGGGGAGCGTGGAGAGGAGGGTGAAAAGGAGGGAACGGCGGTGGGATGAGGATTAGGATGAAGGTGAGAGTGGAGAGGAGGAGGAGGAGGACGAGGAGGAGGAGGAGGAGGAGGAGGAGGAGGGAAAGGATGAGGAGAAGCATGAGGGGAAAGGAGGGATGAGGAGGAGGTGAAGGATAGGATGATGATGAGGAGGAGGAGGAGGAGGAGGATGACAGAGCAAATGAAACATGAAAACCGCATGGTCGAGAGCGCACCTGGAGGGGAGTGGGGGGGAGGAGGAGGCTGGAAGGAGTAGGAGGAGGCTGAGGAGGAGACGGAAGAGGCGCCCGAGGAGGCTGAGGACAGGGACGAGGAGGACGAGGAGGAGGGAGGACGAGGTGGAGGGGCAGCAAGGACGCGGGGGAGGTCTCGCACCGCGCCGACGCCTCCTCGAGCACCTCGACGACCGACAACCACACGTGCCCGCTGGCCTTGCCGTGCTTCAGGAGCGTGAGGTCCCCCGGCCCCTGCCTCCCTGCAGTGGGGCGATCGGGCGCACGCGACGCCCGGTCCACCCCACTCTGGTGGTTGCCGCCGTGCGGGCGGAGAGGGCGGAGGACGAGGAGGACGGGGGGCAGGGAGGAACGGGGAGGAGGAGACGGGACGAGGGGGGAGGAGGGAGAGTCGGGAGGGGGCGTCCCTCCCTCGTACTGCCTGCGTGCCCCTGGGGGGCTGCTGGTGACCCAAGAAAATGTATCAGGAGTCGTCGGAAGGACGTTAGCCTCAGGGATCGATAATGCCTGCAGTGCCAGAGCACTGTACCGCGGCGGATCCACACAACACGTCCCTGTGGTACCTATTCTTGTCCCACACGTGCACAGAGAAGACGTCAGGCGCTCCATCACTGCTGGGAGCTCGTTTCAATCAACATCTCATCACCGCCATGGGCACCTTGTCACCCTGACAAACAAGAGAATGAATCGGTCGCAAAATGCCTTCATGCTTTACTGACCGTGTGTTGCAGACGGTTGCCCCACTAGCTCAATGACCAGAGATGTATGGACAGCGGTGGTAATTCCAAGAGTGACCCATGCATATACAATCTAAAATGTGACACAAACAGAGAGGGAAACGAATTCGCCAGCCCAACGGGCCAAGGGCGTGCTAAGATCTCCGGTGACTGGTCAACAATATTTAGTTCGCGCGCGCGGGACCGCACCCCGGCAAAGTCCCAGGCAGGTCCCCGGCAGGTCCCAGCAGGCTCCAAAGAGCGTTCCAGGAGCGCTTCAAGTGGCCCCCAAGAGAGCTCAACATGGCCCGAGACGGCCCAATAGCAATCCAAGACGCCAAAAATTGCCTCTAGACAGCCGAAAGCGCCTTCAAGACGCCCCAAGAGGCCTTTCAGAGACCTCCCAAGAGAGCCCGCAGAGGCAGAAGTTTGTGAGTTTCCATCTGTTGTTGAAAGTTTTTGGCGTTCTCGCCTTGGAGGCTTACCGGAGCTCCAAGATGGCCCAAGAAGCTTCCAGGATCGCCCCAACACGGCCCAAGAGGCCTCCAAAAGCGCCCAAAATGGCCTCAGAGGGCCCCAAGACAGCCCCAGATGCTTCCAAGATGGCCGAAGAGGCCCCCAAAACAGCTCCCAAAGCGGGCCCAGACGAGGGACCCGAACGGACATGTCGAGCTCTAGGCGCAGAGAGGTCCCCTGGAAGCCCGAAGAGGCCCCCAAGAAGCCCCCGAGAGGCCACCGAGAGGCCCCAAGATACCGCCGATAGGCCCCAAGAGGCCTCTCAAGAGGGCCCCAAGAGACCTCCTGGAGGCCCGAAGAGGCCCCCAAGAAGCCCCCAAGAGGCCCTCGAGAGGCCCCCGAGACCCCCAAGAGGCCCCCAAGAGGCCCCCATGACACCCCAGGAGGTCCCAGAACTGCCCAGAAGAGGCTCCAAAAGAGGCTCCAAGAGGCCCCCCAACGGGCTCCAAGAGGCCACGAACGCGCAGGCAAACGCCTGCGATGGCACAATACGGACCGGCGGAGTAAGCGAAGCGATACTCTTTGTATACGTACATATATGACAAGAAAGAGAGAGAGAGAGAGAGAACAAAACAAAAAAGAGACAGAGAGAGAGAGCGATAGAGAGAGAGAGAGAACAACAAAAAAAACGATAATGAAGGAGAGAGAGAGAGAGAGAGAGCAGGGTCAGAGGCACAAGAGGGGCCGGACAATGACGATTACACCGACGGAAGGACCCCACATGATCACGTTCTGAGTGCGCAGGGTACCAGGATGCGACCTGTGGGGCCGTTGAGACCTTCTGTGCCAATGGGGCCGCTGAGACCTGCGGAGCCTGTCGGACTTATGCGGCCTGTGGGACCTGGGCGACCCGCGGGGCCTGTGCGACCCGTGGGGCCTGGAAATGAGGACCTGTGAGACCTGTGGGACCTGGGGGACCTGGGGGCCCTGCGGGCCCTGTGGGACCGGTGGGGCCCCTGGAACTTGTGGGACCTGTGGGGCCTGTGGGGCCTGTGAGATCTGTGGGGCCTTGGGACTCGTACGGCCTGCGGGGCTTGTTGGACCTGTGGGGCCTGTGGGGCCTGTGGGACTTGCGAGCCATGTAGGACGTGAGGGATCGGTGGGACATGCGGTGCCTCTAGGACCTGCGGGGCCTGTGGGACCTGTGAGGCCTATTGCATGCGATCTGTGCGAACCTGTGGGACTTGTGCGACCTGTGAGACTTGTGGGATCTGTGAGACCTGTGGGACTTGTGCGACATGTGAGGCCTGTGGAGCTGGTGAGCCCTTCAAGACCTGTGAGAACCGTGGGGCCTGTGGTTCTACCGCTTGAGACGTCCTGGAGATTCAGGTTGCCAAGTATGAGAAACCCGGTGTTTTGTACAGGTATCCCAATAGCAACCTCGGACTGGTAACATGAAGTGCGGGCCTCATTGGAAGGGGACTCCAGCTCAAGACTTCCCCAGAATTCACTCACAGACGAGGCTCCCGCTCGAGACTTGATAATATGAATGCGTAAGCGTGCACGTGCGATGAGTATGATTTTGACGATGGTGACGGTCGGGGAACACGATGTGATGGTGATAGTGACGATGAAGGTGATGGTGATGATGATGTTCATGATGATGAGGATAAAGAGGATGAGGAGGAGGATGATGAAGACTAATATTAAGACAAAGACGACGATGATGAAAATGGTGATGATGATGATGATGATGATGATGATGATGATGATGATGATGATGATGATGATGATGATGATCACGATTATGGTCATGATGAACATGACGATGATGACGCTGATGATGATGATGCTGATAATAATGCTGATGACGATGATGATCGGTGATGATCGGTGATGGCGATGAGGATGATGATGCTGCTGCTGCTAATAATGATAATAATGATCCTGCTGCTGCTGATGATGATGATGACAATGACGGTGATGTGCCCGTGTGAGTGGAAGGGTAAGGTTGAAACTACGCGGGGTGTGCAGTGAAAACAAGAGCCACCCTTTGGATGTGGAGACCAAGCGTGCCCGTTCGCATTATTCCCTGGGCTGTTCTGGCTCCAGGGGATGAGCTGAAGCAGCAGGAACGGCAGTGAGAGGAGAAGGAGGCAGAAAGAAAAACACTTCCGGCGCAATAACTGTTTCACGACGCAAGACCCCTGGCTTCACGACCCACTTGGGGAAACCAAAAGGTACCTACACTCCCTGGACCTCTCCGGGGGTGCGTCCTGAACATGGTTTCGAGGTGAATCCAACGGTGGCGACGAGGGCCTCCAAGGCGGGCCAAAAAGGGGAACACTAACGAAGGGTAGCTGTATGGGTACCTTTTCCTCCTCTGACCATCCCCCAAGGCCACCTCTTCGTCGCGGGTCGTTTATGATTGCCACGAGGTCCGAAGCTCGCCCCCAAAAGCTCACCGCCTGGAACAGGACGCCGCCACGTTTTGCCTCCGTGGGCACCGGCAGCCTGGGCAACATCCCCTCAACAGATGTCGACCGTGGCCGCGAGGGCACCCCAGGGGGGGAGGGGGACCGATACGCAGGGGTGAGGGGGAACGATGCTGGGGACTGGCTCGGGAACCTGGCCATCGCTCGGACGTCCATTCCCTGTGTTTTTTTTCGGTTTCGTGCGTGGATTTTTCGCCAAAAGATCAAGGATGCTCCTCGATGGCCCTCGCCGAAGGAAAAATGCACACGTCCGAGCGATGCCAAGGAACAAGCATTGAGCTAGAATCGTCGATGCATCGCCAATAGCAATAGATCGGCGATAGGCCTCCGATTGCAGGACCGCACGCCTCTGGGCGGGGTGGGCGATCGGGGCCCTATCTCAGCGATCCACGGGGGCGGTTGGGAGGTCGATGCGCTCCTGCCGGAGCCTGCCCCCCCCCGGAAGTGTTGCCCCCGAACCAAATGGGGGGCTCAAAGAAAGCACTCAAGAATTCAATTTGGTCTGATTGTTTGAGGGGTCTGATTTTTGAGGGGTCTGATTTTTTGAGGGGTCTGATTTTTGAGGGGAGTGGTCTGATTTTCTGAGGGGTCTGATCTTGTCTTGGAGGGTTCCAGGGGGTCTGGGCAACGGAACGCCCTTTCAGGGCTGGTCTGGTCGGGGGTCTGAATTGGCCCGCGTGGGAGGGTAGTGACCCCCCTTTTCTGATGAAGTCCCACAGGCTGGGGAAACCACAAGGTACCAATACCGCAACTCCCTGGACATCTTCTGGGGTGCGTTCTGACCAGAATTTCAGGGCGAATCCGATTGTGGCGACAAGGGCCGCTCAGGAGGCCCCAACAGGGGGAAAACTGACGAAAGGTAGCGGCATGGATACCCTTTCTCGAGTAGGGGATCGACTGCAGAATTGGTTTATCCCAAAATTGATTTTCTCGCTGACTGTACGAGAAATTCGTAGCGTGCTCAAAAAATCATTCCACCTATCTTTCCGAGCTTCGAAAACAATTTTGGGGTTAAATGCCCATGCTCGATCTACCTGCTCGATGCTCGATGCCACTCGATCCCCTGCTCGATGCTACTCCCCTGAGTGCGCGCCCGAGAGGCCTCGACCTCCCGCCCCTCGGCCCTCGAAGCCCTCAGGGGAAGGTCTGGGCGACGGTCTCCGGATGTTGCCAGAAGTACCCCTGGCCCAGGGTGCCCCCGTAGGATTCTCGGGGTGGCCCCAGACGGCCTCTCCAGAGCACCACCCGGAGGAGGAGGAGGAGGAGGAGGAGGAGGAGGGGGAGGAGGAGGAGGGGGGGAGGAGGAGGAGGAGGAGGAGGAGGAGGAGGAGGAGGAGGAGGAGGAGGAGGAGGAGGAGGAGGAGGAGGAGGAGGAGGAGGAGGAGCTCGACCTCCCAACCCTCGAGCCTCGAAGCCCGCGGGGTGAGGTCTGGGCGAGGGCCTAGGCCCTCCCTCGCAGCCCTCCCCGCGCCGGAAGCCATCGGGGCGGACGAGAAGCTGGCCATCTCGGGCGGGTGGTAATGGGGGGTGACCCAAATGGGGCGTGAAGACCAAGACCCTGAATGGGGGCCCTTCAGGCCCCCAACTGCCTCCCAAAGGGGCCCTGACGGGGCCCTGTAGGGCCCTCTTTTTCACCCCCCATTTAGGTCACCCGCCATTACCACCCGCCCCACAATCGCTCGGACGTCTTCCCCAGGTTTCGAGATGAGTCAAGATGCTCTCCGATAGTCCCCGTCGAGAATAAACGCACACGTCCCCACGAGAAGAGCTGACAGCACCGGGGATTAGGTGATCAATGTGTATCTATGACCCTGCTCACGTCCAAACCCGACGACGGGTCAGAGCAGCGGCACGGACAAATATCTGTCTTCTGGAGCGGAATATGTGTCTCCATGCTGTGCTCCCCATGGTGCCAAGAGAGAGGAGCATCGATCGAACGTCGTCCGTCGAGGGCCGCCAGGTATCAACAAATCAACCATAATAGCTGGTCTTCCTGGCGTCCTCCGACGCTGGAGGCGCCCAGTGCACCGAGGAAAGCGACGGGAGTCGGGGCTGAAATCAGGTGCCTGCAGCAGAGTTGCACTCACGTCCCCTTTCTCACTCCCCCCCGAGCAATCCTCGCCGTCTGATTTTCGTAGGGCGAGAATCATGTTCTGAATTGGCTCAGAATGCGTTCCAGGATTTCCAAAGTATCTAGCGGCCCTCGTCTCTGCAGCCCGCGTGGAGCATTCACAAATCCGGGAAAACCTTGACATATTCGAAGGTATCATTAATTAACATGACTTGTTGCTCCTCTGATTTCGGGCCATCCACTTCCCACTTGGGTCTCTGACAGCCGTTCGGGAAGATCTGGGCGCCCCGGAAAGCTCTCGGCGAGGCGCAGCTGCTGGAGAGCATCCCCAAGCTGGAAAAGTCGCCGAGAACCCAAAGCACGTCAGATAACCTCGAATATCATACCCCTCTCATCCAGCCCGTTCCCTCTCGCTCTACCCGAGAGAATGCGGGGGGTGCTCGCCAGGCGACGGTGAAATCCACGTCCCAGGCGGGCTTCTTGTGCGCGCCGCGCGAGGGCGCGGTGCGGTGCACCTCTGGTCTCCCCGCCACTAGAGAAGCAAACATATAGCGATACTGCTACTCCCCAGACCTCTGCCAGGGTAAGTGATGACCAGCTGTGGTAACGAGCGGGCATTGGCAAGACTGAGTTTAGAGGGACCTGGTTTAGAGATGCGTGTTTGGGGACATCCCCCCCCGCCCATTCCACGAACCCTAACTCGCGTGACCCGAAAAACACTACGGCGGCAGATCTGGCCTAGCAAATCCATACGATTGTTTGGCTCCAGGACCCCACTGCGGATTGTTGTTGCGTAGTTGTTTCTTGTTGAACTATAACTACAACAAAATAATGATGGTTGATCCTCCCTCCGGCGCGCATGGGATTTTTCAACTGAAATGCCCCTCCTGGGGCCCACACCCTGCTATCAGGGGGACGTCGTGAGGCTAAAATTTGGGACCCTGGCCCCCGAACTGTAACAGCAAGGGCCCCCCGCTTGATAATCCCTTCACAACTGGTTGCCCCCGCCGCTCCGGCTCGAAACTTCCTCGCAGTGTACTCCAGGATCGCGTTCTCGCTTGAGACTTACTTTTGCGATGCACTAAGGCGCCGCGCCCTCGCCGTTCAGGAATTGCGCTCTCGCCTCCGACTTCCTTGGAGTTTGCCTGGGAACCGCGCTCTCGCCTCGCCCGGAACCTCCCTAACAATGCAGGACTCGCGCATTCGCGACCCGCCCGCTCGACCCGCCCGTCAGGGTCCTGCCGCTTGACCCGCCTTGCAAGGCCTCCAGTCGCCCCTCACCATACCGCGCTCAGATTTGGAGCCCCCGCCGATGCCGTCGTGGTCTCCTCGATGTCTTTTCGTGGCCCTGCTGTTTGAGCCCCTTGATGCCGTTCGCGACCCCGCGGTCGCCTTCCGTAGCCACCTCGCTGACTTTCGTGGCCCCGCTGTAACTATTCGTGACCCTCTCGCTGCCCTCCCCGGCCCTTTGCGGCCTCAGCGGCCCCTTTTCCGTTTAAAGGTAGCGCCCACGTACACGTAGAAGGGAAGGACCAATCCAAATTTACGGGGGCACGATCGAAGACGAAAGGGGCGGCCTCCAAGAGCTTGGCAAACACAAGTTGAATGACACGCACGCGTATAAGAACGAACAATCCTAAAGTAAGTGAAACCGAACTCGCTTCTAAAGAAGAAGTATTGGTGATGCCCCCCCTCCGGTAACCATGCGCTGTTCAATGAAAGTGCTTATCGTGGGGCGAGTGCCCCTTCGATTAAGAAAGAAAAGATGGTACCAAACTGTGTCCCTGGCCCCCTGGCTAAAACAACAACAACACCAGCAACAACATCAGCAACAACAACAACAACAGCAACAGCAAAAACAACAACAACAACCACAACAACAACAACAACAACAACAACTACAACAACAACTACAACAACAACGACAAAAGTAACATCAATAACTAGTTTAAGACTGGTCGCTCTTATCTGCCCGAAGGTCCGCCAACGTGAATTTCCCAAACCCTCGATAACCGCCATCTTCGCCTTCGATGGTACCACTTTTGGGGGCTATCATATATCATCCTTCCCTGCGGCCGGGCCCCGGCAAGCGGCGGGACGGCCGCGGACCGTCGGCCTGGCCAGCGGCAGCGCTGATCGGCGGCAGCCGGACCCTAAGAGGGACGGACATGGGACCGACCACGACGGCAACGACGACGACGACGCCGATGACGACGACGACGACGACGACGACGACGACGACGACGATGACAACGACGACGACGGCCGCGACGAAGACGACGACCACGACGAGGGACCGAAATCGACAGCAGGGCCACGAAAGGCAGGAAGGGGGCCACGAAGGGCGACAGCGGGGCGACGAAGGGCATGCGTATGGGGCCACGGAGGGCGCGAACGAGCGGGGGTCACGAAGGGCAGATGATGAGGGGCCACAGAGGGCAACGACAGGACCACTGAGGGCAACAACGGGGCCACGTAGGGCAGCGAGGGGGCCACGAAAGAGTGCAACGGGACAGCGAAGGGCATGAATATGGGGCCACGACAGGACGAACGAGCGGGGGCCACGAAGGGCATACGTATATTCGGCCGCAGAGGACAAGGATGGGGCCACTGAGGGCAACAACGGGGCCACGAAGGGCAGCGAGGGGGCCACGAAGGGGAAAAACGAGGACAAGAAGGGCATGAATCTGGGGCCACGACGGGCGCGAACAGGCGGGGGCCACGAAGGACATACATATATGGGGCAACGAAGGGCAGCGAGGAGGCAACGAAGGGCTGCAACTGGGCCACGAAGGGCAGCGAGGGGGGCTGCGAAGGGTTGTAACGGGGCCAGGAAGGACAGCGAGGGGGCCAAGACGGGCTGCAACGGGGCCACGAAGGGCAGCGAGGGGGCCACGAAGGGCTGCAACGGGGCCTCGAAGGGCAGCGAGGGGGCCACGAAGGTTTGCAACGGGGCCACGACAAGGGCAGCGAGGGGGCAACGAAGGGCTGCAACGGGGCCACGACGGGCAGCGAGGGGGCCGTGAAGGGCAGCAACGGGGCCACGAAGGGCAGCGAGGGGGCCACGCAGTGCTGCAACGGGGCTACGAAGGGCAGCGAGATCCCGATTCCTACGTAAGCTGTGAGGGAGTCCTAAGCATGAGCGCGACTCCTAGGTGCCTGGGTGTCGGGAGCGCGGCGCTTGAGTAAATCCCACCAGCCCTTTGGGCGACAGGTGGTCAAACGAGACTCCTCTTCTTCCCTCTTTCAAAAAACCGTTCTCCCCCTACTGGGAGGAGTTTACCCCTCCCCGCACCTCTCCCCTGGACTTTTTTGGGGGCCCCGCGAGGTGTCAGGGCGTCCAAAACGGCCTCGGCGAGGAAGCAAAAATCATTGGTTTTACTAAAAGTGTTGGCCCCATTTTGTCCTCTTTGGGGGGAGGGACGTTGCCCCACCAGCCCTCTGGGCGCCCAAATCATTGGTGTTACTAAGGTGTTGGCCCCATTGGGGCATCTTTTGGGGGGGAAGGTTATCCCACCCTCCTTCGATCGATAGCCTTCAAGATGCCCCCAAGATGCCTTCCAGGGCTCCCAAGAGGCCCCAAGAGGGCCCCAAGAGGGCCCCAAGACGGCCCCAGAAGCCTCCAAGACGCCCAAGATGGCCTCCAAGACGGCTAAGATGGCCCCGAGATGCCTCCAAGACGGCCCAGGATGCACCCAAGACGGCCTGAGATGGCCTCTGGATGGCCCACGAAGCCCCCCAGAGGCCTCCGAGACGGCCCAAGAGGCCTCCAAGAGGTCCTCCAGGAGGGACCGAAGGGGCCAAAAACATTTATGTTTCTATGGTTTTTGACAGATTTGGCGGGCGTGGTCTCACAAGGCCGGCTGGGCCGGTACATTTTGGTCGATATTACAAAAAGAAACCTTCAGGTTGCCCCCGCTGTCTCTGATTGTGCCTGTGCCTCTGTCTCTCTCTCTCTCTCTCATCCTGCGCCTCCGAGCCGCAGCTGGCACGAGCCCCAAGCACGGCGCGGGCCCGAGGCGGGACACGGGACCTTGCGAAGATGGTCCGCAACGCTGCCCACCCCGCACTGGCAAGGCAAGGACAGGACCAGGCCCGCGGAAACTGCGCCCCGCCCGCCCGATACGGAGCATCTGCTCACTTTCGGCGGACGGGGGTGGGGGTGGGCCCGCAGGGGCGTGCCCTCAAGGAGCTGCTCGAAAACTGCGGGCCAGCAGTGCATGGCCCCCTGCTCGCCGAACCCAAGCGAGGAAAGGCTGCGACTGGGCTCGCGGAAACTGCGGCCCCCCCCCCCAAAAAAAAGGCGTGCAAATCTCCTCACCCCGAACGGACCAGGAATGGCTGCACTTGGGCTCGCAGAAACTGCGGGCAAAAACAAAAATGGCCCGCGAACTCCCTCACCAGAAACAGCTGCGAAAGCTAGCAAAAACTGCAGGCCAACCCAGAATGGACCGCAAATCTGTGGCGGGACTGGCTTCGCGGAAATTGCGGGCCAAATTACAAATGGCCCGCAAATCTCCACATCCCACAACGACCAAGAATAGCGGCACTTGGGCTCGCAAAAAGAGCGGGCCAACAACAAATGGCCCGCAAATCCCTTCACCAGAAACAGCTGCGATTGGGCTCGCAGAAACTGAAAGGTCAACGCAGAATGGACCGCAAGTCTGTTGTGAACTGGGTTCGCGGAAATTGCAGGCCAAATTAAAAATGGCCCGCAAATCTCCTCCCCCCGAACAAAACAGGACAGGCAGCGATGGGGCTAGCAAGAACTGCGGGCCCCCAAACAATGGCCCGCAAATCGCCTCACCCCAAAAGACCGGGAATAGCCGCACTTGGGCTCGTGGCCAAAACAACACGGCCCGCACGTTTCTTCACCAAAAACAGCTGCGAGTGGGCTCGCAGAAACTGCAGGCCAGCGCAGAGTGGACCGCAAATCTGCTGCGGGACTGGGTTCGCGGAAATTGCCCAGGCATGAGGACCGGCCCGAACACAAGGGCCCCTCCTGAGGCCAAGGTGGTCCCTATAGGTCAGCGCAATGACTGTAACACACGTCCTGCGTAGAGGAACGGGCAAAAATTGGAACCATCAACTTTTGACGGTCCGCACGGATCTCTTGGGTCTGCCAGGGGCGGCGCCGGAGGCGCCGCCAGGGGATCCCCAGCGCAGATCTGACAATTCTGCGCGGAGCGCCAAGAGTTTATGTTTGTGCTGATGTTTAGTCTTCGACTGAGGATCATCGAACCCTGGACCAAAGGCACTTCTGGCAACACCCGCGCGCGAGGGGGAGAGGAACCTCCTGCCCGCCAAACTCCACGACCGCGTACGGGTCCATCGGGTCCTCGGCGGCATCCCCGTGGGTCGGGGGGGGATGGGCGAGCCGGGCGAGAGCGGCCTCTGGAGCGTTCCAAAGGGGGGCGTGCGAAAGGGGGGGGTCCAAAGTCATGGCTCGAGGCACGTGCGCGGACCAGGGGGTGGGACCGGGGAACGCGTTGAGAAATGAAGCGGGGCAACAAAATGTGGGGAGATCTCATGGCCCCGGCCATGATATCCCCCCCCCACGTGTCTTGGCTGTGCGCACAAGGGGGTAGGGGAAGGGGGGCATGCATCTCAGAAGGAAGCTGCTTCTCAGAAGGCGCCATTGACAGGACCCGCGCCTTCTAAGAAGCAGGGTGCTTCTTAGAAGCCTTTCCCCCTTCCCCTACACCCCATCCGCGCGTGGCCGAAAGCCATCCACCCCTTCTTGACCGCCCCAGACGGCCCCCGCGATCCCCAGCCTCGGTCTCCGGAGGCCAGGCAAGCTCACCTCCCTCCGGCCCGCTCGGGAGGGAAGGCCGTGAAATCTCGGCTGGATGCCTCTGGGCGGCGAGCCCAGGGGGGGGGGGGAGGTCGAGGGGGCGGGCCCTTTCAGAAGGCTCGGCAGGCCTCGGATAGAACCTGGAGGGGAGAAGAACGGGGACCACGACCAAGATGCCGCAGGATCATGACGATGGCGACCTTGGTCATGGTCTATGTCGTCCGTCGCCGATTCGCGAGGATGATGTACGAGCTGACGGTAACCCCTCCACGGCTTCTCAGAAGGCCGGAGGGCTTCTTAGAAACCCCGCCACCTTCTGAGAAGGCCTGCCCCCTCTCACTTCCCTCCTGGGCGCGCAGCTGACACTCCGCATCGGAATCTGGAAATCGGATCGAGTCAAAATGTGAGTCGGATCGCGCTGCATCGGATCGGCTGCGCCAGGATGCACGACTACTCATTTGTATTTTGCAAGGAGGATCGCAGCGGCACCCTTCTGTCACGAGCTCTGCGAAGGCGCCTGCCCTCTCTTCGGAGATTCACGTTTGCGCGAGGTGGTCTGCAAATACTGTACACACGTTTGACGTAAAAAAACACGCCTAGGCCCGTGAACGCAGGACCGTGAACGACCACGCATCCTGCTCATGACCTAAAGCGGGTGACCTCGAAATCCCTCACTACGCCTGGGCGTACAAGGCCTTGGCCTTGGCATAAAGCGCCTTTCCCTCCGGCTTCTTGCCGTTGATGGCCACGAAGCCCTTCAGGCCGAGTGCAACCCTCGCCTTGGCGACGCACTCGCCCCATTTCTTCACTGCAGCGAAAAGCTTCTTGCCCGCCGCGTGCTTCTTCTTCGACACGACCTTGCCGCGCTTGTTCTTCATGAGACTATCCTTCGTGAGGCCACCCGAAGTCTTCACCTTCGCACCCTTCAACACTTGGCTCTTGGCCTGCACGCCCTTGGCGATAATGCTCACGCTCTTCTTCTTCATCGCGGCCTTCATGCTGGTCTTCATCGCGGCCTTCATGCCAGTCTTCATCGCGGTCTTCATGGGCAGCGCCATGGCCCTCTGGAGCGGTCGGGAAACGATCGAGCTGGGCAGGAGGCTTTTGCACGTGATCGCGCGGGCCGTAATGACGCCAGCGGCTTGAGCCAAAATGGCGTCAGACACCCCCGGTGGACTCGGTTTGACCGTCCATTCGGGCAACATTCGGGCGATGGAAATCGGATGCGGCTGGACCTAGGACAGAAGAGCATCCTTCAAAACCATAAGACCCTCCGCCAGCCAAGCTGAAGCGCACTCGAGGGTACCCTCCCCGAGCCGACCTGGATCTCAGCCTGGAGGTAGGACAGGGGTGTGTAGCATCGCCATTCCCACGATTGGCACCACACCCCATTTATGCCCCACCCCTTGCCAACCTCCAGGCTCATACCTCGGTCCGACCGTACACCCTGCGAAATGCTTAAGAAATCATGGGTTAAGAAATTCATAGTCTCAGAACTTGAGTAGAAGCCCAGAATTTCCATCGAAATCTTAGGATGTACATGGAAACATTAAGAATAATCGAGACTCTGGCCGAAAACTTGGGTTTTCTTAACCATCGCCTAAGGTGTAGGCGCTTGCTCCGGCATCCGCCCCCCCCCAAAGACGGAGCTGTGACGACCGAGGCGCGCGAATATCCGGGGGCGTCCGAGGGGGGGGCGCAAAAATCATGGACCGCGGCATGCGCGCGGCCCAGGGGAGCGTCGGGACGTCTCAAAGTACGAAGAGGCGCCAGGAAAAGTCGGGGGGAGCATTATGGCCCCGCCATGACATCCACCCCCCCCTCATCCTCCCCCCCCCCCTCGTAAGCGCCCCCGACGTTTTGCCTGTCGGAAACTGGTTCTGGGGAAGGGTGCGATACCTGCAGGCACGCAACAGCAGGAGAGCCCAGAATCGAATCGATAGGTCGAATCAACGATCGGTGATCGAAATCAATCGGATCGGCGGAAATCGACAGCCGAGTCGGGAAAAGTCGACTAAATCCGCCGACCCTGTCGGCGTGTGTGAGGGGCTTTTCCGTTCGAGCCGTCGTTCTTTGTACTCGTCGTCTCTGTCCTTCCCTTTCCCTGGGAGACCTCTTCCCCTGGGCTCCAGCCAAGCCGACCTTGAGCAACCTCGTAATTGAGTCGAAGGGAAGCCCCTTCCCTTTCATCCCTCCCCCGCCGGGAGGGGGGGGGGGGTAGCGACCCCCCCCCCGGGTCAGATACGACGCCCCCCCCTGGGACTCCTCTTCCCCTGGGCTCCAGCCAAGCCGACCTTGAGCAACCTCGTAATTGAGTCGAAGGGAAGCCCCTTCCCTTTCATCCCTCCCCCGCCGGGAGGGGGGGGGGGGTAGCGACCCCCCCCCCGGGTCAGATACGACGCCCCCCCCTGGGACTCCTCTTCCCCTGGGCTCCAGCCAAGCCGACCTTGAGCAACCTCGTAATTGAGTCGAAGGGAAGCCCCTTCCCTTTGATCCCTCCCCCGCCGGGAGGGGGGGGGGGGTAGCGACCCCCCCCCCGGGTCAGATACGACGCCCCCCCCTGGGACTCCTCTTCCCCTGGGCTCCAGCCAAGCCGACCTTGAGCAACCTCGTAATTGAGTCGAAGGGAAGCCCCTTCCCTTTGATCCCTCCCCCGCCGGGAGGGGGGGGGGGTAGCGACCCCCCCCCCGGGTCAGATACGACGCCCCCCCCTGGGACTCCTCTTCCCCTGGGCTCCAGCCAAGCCGACCTTGAGCAACCTCGTAATTGAGTCGAAGGGAAGCCCCTTCCCTTTCATTCCTCCCCCGCCGGGAGGGGGGGGGGGGTAGCGGGGGGGGTAGCGACCCCCCCCCCGAGTCAGATACGACGCCCCCCCCCCGTACCGACCTTGAGCAACGTCGTCATTGAGTCGAAGGGAAGCCCCTTCCCTTTCCCTTCCCCGACGGGGGGGGGAGAGGAGGTCCCGGGGGGGGTCCCGGGGGAGTCCCGGGGAAGTCCCGGGTCAGATACGACACCTCCCTCCCCCACCTTCTCGTCCTTCTCCCCGTTCCCCCAAACCATCCCACAGCCCGTGCCTCTTGCTGCGCATTGCGAACAGGGTCGGCGGCACCGGCCGTCAGGCCTTCGCAATAAACATCGGCACGTCGGCAAGCTAGTAAGTAAGCCTCCATTGATGCATCGGATTCCAAATCGCAATCCGAAGCCGAATCGAATCGGAATCGGAATCCATCGAAAACGAATCGAATCGAATCGGAGGAATCGACATGAGCCCTGAGAAGGGGGTCGAGATGCTGCCGCCGGAGCTCCGGGCGCACGCTCCCACGAGCACCCCTCTCGGCAGCGGCCACAATCTCCACCGTCACGAGGGCCCTGCTCGCACGAAGCGGAGCCAGAATGGACCCGCGCAGTCCGTCGCTCTGCTCCTGCGAGCAGGGCCGCGTGCGCGAAGCAGGCCTGT